GGTTGGGAAAGAAGGTACAGTGGAAATAAAAATCACAGAAGTGGAGTAAGTGATATTACATTGATGGGATTGTATTCATTGAAGTGACATGAACTATATGATTTGTTGAATGTAAGACAGATGATCTGCTCTGTAAACCTTCACTCAATTCACAAGAAAAAGATTTTTTTTTTTAATTAAAAAAAACAAAAACAAGGCCAGGGGCCAACTGCGGAACAAACCATTAATTGCTCATATTCATGTTGAGGCTGAAGAAAATTAAAACAAATTCACAAGAGCCAAAATAAGACTTTGAACATATCCCACCTGAATTGAGAGACCATCTCAAGAACAGATTTCATGCATTAGGCACTAATGACCAAAGACCAGAAGAGATAAGCTATGAGATCAAGAACATCATACAGGAAGAAAGCAAAAGGTCATTAAGAAGGAATTGGGGCTTGATGGTGGCTAGGGTGGAAGTGCAATGAAGGTCGCCATCAGCAATAACACAGAATACCAGGCAAAGCAGATCCAGGACAGAGCTCCAAAACGCGGAACTACAGAGCTAGGAATAATTTAAAAGTTTGAAGGCTTATAGCTACTAGAACTTGAAGCTGAAGTACGAAATCACTTACTTTTGAATCTGGTGGGCTCAGAACCTGGGAGCTGCCATCTTGGGCGAGACCAAATGACAAGACCAAGTGGGGGAGCAGAAACACCACAGAAAAATGCGGTGGGAACCTTGAAGCAAAGGTGGACTTTGTCGGTTTTGCTTTGTTCTGATGTCCTTCTTTTTTTTTCTCCCCCGTATCTGGTCATTGGCTCCCCACTGTTTGTGCACCTGCATTCTGGTGACTGGTGGGGGGGGGGTGCCTGAGCGAGTGGACACCCCCCACCCTCACCACTGGTGAATTCTTTTGCCAAGCATGCGCACAGATATTCAGCCTAAGAGCAGGCCCCAAACGTTTTTTGTTTTTTTTTAAACATGGGAACCACCAGGACAGGCCTATAGAGAGGGATTGTTGTTGTTATGTGCTGTGGAGTCAATTCTGACTCATAGCGACCATGAACAGGGTTTCCGAGGCTGTAAATCTTTACAGGAGCAGAAAGCCTCATCTTTCTCCCGCGGAACAGCTGGTAGTTTC